GGCACATAACAACAACAACAATAACAATGGCATGATGCAATGTTTGGGTTATATTAGTGGAAACAAAAAACTAAGATAGTTGATAAATACACTGGACTTTGGCTGAACTGAATGTGAGTCTCTGTTATGTTATTGGATCATAAAAATCAGGAACTTTCTACCTACTTGTCCACTTTGTAAGGATTGTTTTGAATGCTGTTGCTACATTTTCTCCTAAAAACAAATGTTAACTTTTTTTTTTTAAACCTATATTTGCTGCTTTATTAGAGGGCAGTGGTATTTCCATGGTAGAGTTCTTGACCTCACACAGTAAATCTGATTTGTTTCCCAGGCAACGCACCTCAGGTGGAGTCAACTGTCATGGGAAGCCTGCATGTTGATATGAAGCGGAACAGGATTCACCAGCGCTTCCAGAATAAGATAAAGAAGAAAGACCTGAAAATCTACTTCCAAAAAATCAGCCACTGGAAATCCTGTGGATCACAATGGTCCAGTTTCATTGCACATGAGGTTGCCAAGAGTCAGGGTGACTTGACAGCAGTTAACAACAACTCTGCTGATTTTAGATGCATTTTTTGATTGTTAACAGAATGGCTGCATTTGAAACATAAATATATGATCAACATCAGGATATATTTTCCCTCCACATATGATATTATTGAAAAGAAGAAAAATCATTGAAAATCTTAAAAAATTTTTTTGTTTGCAATAGCATTAATATCATCATCTGAGTATTCTGAGTGCAATGTAGACATATGGTGAAAATTCTTCAGCAAAAATAAGGATTTTTCTTCATCTTAGAGCATGTTCCCAGCATTATTTGAAAACTAAGACATGTGCAACAATATTGAACAAGTAAAAAAATTTCTAATAGGTGCACTCATCTTCCAACTAATATATTGTATTGATAACAATGCTGCAACTAAATGGAAATGGGTTTGCTTTTTGGTTGATGCCAATAGCGTTCCTGATTAAGAAGAGTAAGAGGTTTGCAATTCTATAGTGACGTACAGAGACACAACAAAATGTGAGCAAAGTTAAATTAAATCTAATTTCAGCCGTTTCATTCGACTCTATTTGATATTTGAATTTTAAGTGTTCTTTGAACAACACCTTGAAATCAATTGTGTTACTCGAGTTCATGAT